ATTTCCTCATATCTCTTCTGGCTGTAGGGTGGCTCAGTGGAATCCATTTTATTAACACCAACAATTAGCTGTTTCACACCCAATGTGTAAGCCAGAAGGGCATGCTCACGGGTCTGCCCATTCTTAGAGATACCAGCTTCAAATTCTCCAACACCAGCAGCAACAATCAGGACAGCACAGTCAGCCTTTGGAGAAAAAAAGACAGCTATTAAATCAAGGCACTTCAAAATTGGTTCATTCTTTATTAATTTTGAAGTGCCTTGATTTAAGAATGAACCTAACTGTTGTCTAAAGATGGTTTTGTAGGCTTAATTACTAACTATAGAAGCAATGAGACCCAGCCATTGAGCACAAATTAGGTACAATCATACTAGCCCTAGAGTTTTAAGACTACAAACCTGTGAGGTTCCTGTAATCATGTTTTTGATAAAGTCTCTGTGTCCTGGGGCATCAATGATGGTCACATAGTACTTGCTGGTCTCAAATTTCCACAGGGAGATATCAATGGTGATGCCTCGCTCACGTTCAGCTTTCAGTTTATCCAAGACCCAGGCATACTTGAAGGAGCCCTTCCCCATCTGTAATGAGTTAAAAACAGTAAATACACAGTAAAATCCAGTTCAAAAATTTCTGCCACGATTTGACAAAGTGATTACTAGTGGCTAATACTAGGTAGCTTTACTTGAATATCAACATTACAATATGTGATTTATCAACAGCTAATTTCCCATTATACCTAATATTAAATGAATCCTTATTTTCAGGATCTAAATGCATTTGGTGTGAATTAACCTTTTTGTTATTGCACTTACCTCAGCAGCTTCCTTCTCAAATTTTTCGATGGTTCTTTTGTCGATTCCACCACATTTGTAGATCAGGTGACCAGTAGTGGTTGACTTGCCGGAGTCGACGTGTCCAATAACGACAATGTTGATATGGGTCTTTTCCTTTCCCATTTTGGTTTAGGTTTTGCGATGGTTTTCACCAACACCTAAATTGTGATTGAAAAAAAAAAATCTCAAACTTTACAACCACGGTCTAAGGCTTAAGTGGAGGCACGATGCAAACTCAAAGGTCAAATTCCAAGGAGAATTACATTCAGTGCCAATCTGGTTTAAATAAAGTCTCCACCCACCAAATGTGGGGGAAACTCCCAACGCAAAAAAATAAAAAGCAGAAAAGAGAAACAAAATAAAAAATCTCTCCAACCTTGGAAAGTCGTGCCCCAGGTGGCGGGCCAGGGGCCGCTGCACGGCATGGGGAGGCCCTTTCCTTTGTGTGGGTGACTCACCCCCCGCTCTCCCGGGCCGCGGCGTCCTCCATTTTGAGTTCCCTGCAGCAGGGCCGGGGAGCGGCCATCTTTCCGCGCACGCAACTGGTGCCGCCTGGGCTGGCCTGCCGGTCACCGCGAAGCAAGCCTGGGCACCGAGCCGCCCACCCAGCCTCCCGGGGCGAGGCTCTCCCCGCGGCCCGACACGATGGCCGCGGATGCCGGCCCCCGCCTCGCCTGGCTGAAAGCGCCACCGACATGTGAGCGGGGACAAGCGGCCGCCGCCGCCCTCGGCGCTTCGTAGCCTCCACAAGCGGATCAACCAACGCTACGTGGCCCGGTCCCGTCGAAGTACTGTTCCATGTCCTCTAAACTACGTCGGCTATTAGTTCCCAACCGTGTATGTAACGAAACTTATACTCTTACTGAGAATAGTGCGGCAGACGCGAAAAGTAGGTGCGGCCGGATTCGCACGCGTAGGCCACGGCGTTCAAACCAGGCCTTAACTCAAGCACGAGGCAATGAGGTCTTCATTTAAGCGCCAGGCCTCGAGCTCTCCCACCCACTTACAACCCGAAATTCGGGGTAAGAACATCGGAAACTAGCTCAGGTTAAGTAGATTAAGGCACGCGAGGGGCGCAGCCCACTGAAAGAGGTCCGGCCTACGGAAATCAACCCAGCACATACCTGTATCCTGGCGGCAAACCCGTTGCGAAAAGAACGTTCAGGGCGGCTGCGGCACTTATATATGGTTCTCCCCCACCCTCGGGAAAGGGGCGGAGTCAGCACACGACAGCACTTCCCAGTTTACCCCGCGCCACCTCCACCAGGCACCGGTTCAATTGCCGTCCCTTCCCCCACTTTTAGTGGACTGTGGGCGAGGAGCGATGAGCCTGTGAATGGCACCTAACGTCTCGCGCATGCTCCTCTGGTCCCCGACGGTGACGAGAGCTAGTGAGTGGAAGGCGGGGACGCAAAGATCCGTCGTTTCTATGTTTGTGGGGGTTTAGCGACGGTCCCTAGGATTACCAAAGACAGAGGCGAATCCCCCTTTCGTATAAAAAAAAGTTCCAGCTCAGGGGTAGGGCGGTGAAGAGGCAGCCTTGAGAAGACGTTCAGAATCTTCCCCTTGCCATTGCTGACTTCACCGCAAAGGCAGTGTCAAGATTGGAGTATCCTCTCCTTTCGCCATTTGCTTCCCGTCCTTCGCCTGGTCATTTCCTAGGACCCCGGCAAAACCCTGGAGTCATTCTCCTCTGGCCCCTGGGTTCCCCCGCCGCTGTCTCCCGCACCCATCCAGGCAGGAGACGGATCTAGGGCTGACTCACTAAGGATTCTAGTCGAAGGATGTGCGTCTCACCCATCTGCTTCTGGGCGCTGCCCTCTTAGCTCTTTTCATTCAAAGTCAGCTCGTTTATCGAAGCTCGTTTGTCCCGACTCTGCCCCTCCCGCCTTGGTTCTCCAGATGTCCAGTTTTTTACAGTTTAGAAAACGGTGTGTCAGTATCGTGATACATTTTCTCCCACCGTGCCTTTGATTGCAGGCATGAGAAGTCAAAAGAAGAATCATATTCAGTCTTTCCACATGATCTCATGTAGAAACTAACGTCTAAAGCACCGACTATCAGATCCACCCAGTTTCTTATCCTCAACACTTAGTGCAAAATCACTGCTTCTCAAAAAACTGTTCTCTTGAAATAAATACCTTCATGTTCTCTTTTCCTGTTGATTGTAACTGTATGTTAGCATAAATTAAGGGCGAGATTGGCTCTCATTTCAGGCCCTGGGAAATGCTTCTAGGAGGAAAGAATCTTTCTTTTTAATGAGCTAATTACCGGATCATTATGTCTCACCTTCCATTACTGCCCAAGTTTTGGAACCAACCTATTTACTATTCGAGTCCTGATATGGTGCTGCGGGTTAATGTGCTGAACTGCAAAGTCAGTTTGAACCGTAAGGCTCAAAGCACACCAAATGCTCCTCAGAAACCTTATACAGGGGTCGCTATGAGTCAGAACCGACTCCTTGGCACTTAACAACAACATATGTCTGGGACTCCTAATGTGGCGCTGTATGATATGCAGTGGACTGCTAATCGCCAGGTAAGCAGTTCAAACCCACTAACCACGCCTCAGAAACCCTACCGACTGGACAGCACTTACAACAATCATTATAGTTGTCAAGTTCGGTTGACTCAGCGAACCTGTATGGGGTTTCTAAGGTGCAGAGGGTGGATTTGAACTGTCCATCTTTCTAGTTTGGCAGTCTTGTTGTTCTTGTTATGTGCCGTGGAGTCGGTTCCCACTCATAGCGACCCTACACAGGGTTTCCGAGGCTGTAAATCTTTACGGGAGCAGACCGCCTCATCTTTCTCCCGCTGAACCGCTGGTAGTTTCGAACTGCTGACCTTGCGGCTTGCAGGCCGATTCGTAACCACTATGCTACCAGAGCTCCCTAGTTTGGCAGTCTAGTGGGTATTTTACAAAGCTACATCAGGTCTCCCCAAGAACTATGTGGTGGTGGTGGTTATGTACCGTGGAGTCCATTCCGACTCATAGCGACCCTGTTCAGGGTTTCGAGGCTAGAAATCTTTATGGGAGCAGAAAGTCTTATCGTTCTCCGCGGAGCAACTGGTAGTTTCAAACTGCTGACCTTGAGATTCACAGCTGAATTTGTAACCACTATGATACCAGAGCTCCTACAAGAACTATGTACCCTGCACTAAATGACTATATGACGCAATGTGGATGGCGCAAAACAGTTTTATGAAGAGGAACCCACAATCAAGTTGAAAGAGGAAAACTAATACATACAACAATTGGGTCTCTTTAATAAATGGTGCCGACAAAACTGGATATTCATTTGTATAAATAGGATCCATATCTCTTACCATATATAAAAATGAACTCTAGACAGTCCAAAGAATAAAACTTAAACTATAATGGTCATCAAAGAAAAAATAGGGGCAAACTTAGGAGTTCTATTAACAACAAAATTTCACCATCATCAAGTCAGTTCTGATTTATTAGATGCCATCAAGTCAGTCTGACTCATAATGACCCTGTACAGCGTTTCCAAGGAGCAGCTGGTAGGTTTGAACCACCAACCTTGTAGCTTCAGTCCAGTCAATTCTGACCCATAGGGACCCTGTATAGGGTTTCCAAGAAGCAGCTGGTGAACTTGAACCACTGACCTTACAGTTCAAATGACTTTGCAGTCTGACGCATTAGCCCACAGTGCCAGGTTCATAGTGACCCTGAAAGACAGAGTAGAACTGCTTCGTTCAGTTTCCACAGAAGCAGATTGCCTTTCTCCTGGGGTGCTGCTGGTGGGTTCCAACTGCCTACCTTTTGATTAGCAGCCTGATGCTTAACCCACCACACCATCAGGGATCTTTAGGTTTACTGACTCTAATACATGGCATTGAAACTTATAATTCTGTAGGATAAGTAAATGGACTGATTACCTCAGTTATCAAACCCTTGAGCTGCTCCTCAGAAACCCTATACAGGGTTGCTATGAGTCAAGCCAACTTGACTGCACTTAATAACAACAGCAGTACACAGCATGAATACACGAGGAAAGAAATCTAAAATTACACAAGCAGTGGAAGACAAACTAGACAATTGGGACCTCTTCAAAATTAAAACAACTGGAAAACTGCTACAGGCAAATTTGTATGGTGCTCAGTTCATTGTAGAATAGGGTTCTACTAGTCTAGCTTTCAGTTACTTCTTATAAGGCAAACATTGTTTTTCTTTTTAAATGAAAGAAGTTTTCTGGAATAGTCTTCCTATGTCTTCTTGTTTTACCAGTCTTTGTATATACAACTTTCTAAAATCAGGTTTCTCAATTTCTTCATAAGAGAGTTTCTAGCCTTCTCATTTTTCATTTAACTTTGAGAATTTGAATAAAAGAAACTAGACCAAGTAAAGTTTCCCAAAGAACATATCTTCTTGTCCACAAAAAACTTTTCTATAATGTCTATATTTCTGGCTCCTTTCCTTCCACAAATTCTTTTTCACATTGCATTTTCCTAATGCACTTACCTAATCATACATGTGGAATAAAATTCACTTGATACTCTAGTCCCTGTCTATAATAAGATAAAGATATAAAAAGTACCAGTGAAAATCAATTACAAGCAATGTTGTTAGGTGCTGTCAAGTTGTCTCCACTCATAGCAATCTTACACACAACAAAACGAAATGCTACCTGGTCCTGCACCATCTTCACAGTTGTATCACACTTGAACCCATTGCTGCTGCCACTGTACCAATCCATCTCTTTGGGGGTCTTCTCTTTTTCTTTGACCCTCCACTTTACCAAGCATAATGTCTTTATGCAGGGATTGGTCCCTCCAAATAATATGTCTGAAGTATGAGAGAAGTCTTGCCACCCTGTCTTCTAAGGAACATTCTGGGTGCACTTCTTCCAACACTGATTGGTATGTTCTTTTGGCGGTCCATGGTACTTTCAGTACTCTCCTCCAACACCATAACTCAAATGCATCAATTCTTCCATGGCCTTCCTTATTTAATGTTCAACTTTCACATGGGTAGGTCGTTGTTGTTATCTGCCGTGGAGTTGATTCCAACTCATAATGACCCTGTACAGGGTTTCTGAGGTTGTAAATCTTTACAGGAGCAAAAAGCCTCATCTTTCTCCCATGGAATGGCTGGTAGTTTCGAACTGCTGACCTTAAGCTTCGCAGCCTGATTCATAACCACTACACGACCAGAGCTCCTTATAGGTAGGAGGCTACTGAAAATACCATGGCTTGGGTCAGGTACACCCTTAGTCCTCAAACTGGTATTTTTGCTCTTGAGGACTTTAATGACATCTTGTGCAGCAGAATTGCCCAATAAAATATGTTGTCTGATTTCTTTACTGTTGCTTCCAAGAGAGTAGATTGTAGACACAAGCAAAATGAAGTGTTTGGCAACTTCAATTTTTTCTCCATTTATCATGATGTTATTTATTGGTCTAGTTGTGAGGATTTCTGTCTTCTTTACATTGAGATGCAATCTATACTGAAGGCTGTAGTCGTTGATCTTCATCAGTATTTTAAGCCCTCTTCATTTTCAGCAAACAAGATTGTATCATTTACATATTGCAGGTTGTTAATAAGTCTTCTTCCAATCCTGATGCCACACGCTTCTTCATATAATCCAGTTTCTCAAATTATTTGCTAAGTATGGTGGAAAAATATTGCTCTGGTGCATACTTTCCCTAATTTTAAACCATTCAATAGCCCCTTGTTTTGTTTGAACAACTGTCTCTTGGTCTCATGAGCACAATCAAGTATTCTGGAATACCCATTCTTCACAATATTATTCATAACTTGTTTTGATCCACATAGTCAAAAGCCTTTGCATAGTCAATAAGGCACAAGTAAACATCTTTCTACTATTCTCTGCTTTCAGCCATTTGATGTCAGAAATGATATCCCTACTTCCACATCCTCTTCTGAGTCCAGCTTGAATTTCTGACAGTTCCCTGTCAATGTAATGTTGCAGCCATTTTTTTAATCATCTGCAACAAAATTTTACTTGCATGGATATTAATGATAGTGTTAGATGATTTTCTCATTCTCTTGGGTCACCTCTCTTTGGAATGTGCACAAATATGAATCTCTTCCAATCAATTGTCCTGGTGGCTGTCTTCCAAATTTCTTGGCATAGCTCAGTGAAAGCCTTTTTAAGTGCTGCATCAAGTT